AATTGCACCTTTTATATGGTTTGCACCAAGTTCTACTTCCAAGATCAAAATATCCCAAAATCCTTGACTTTTGACCCTTCTAAGCCATTCTAAAGAATCTTATGTCAAATTCCTTTCTTTCTCCTTGTACTTTCCTTTTGAAAAGTTGATCCACCAACAACAATCTATATTACACTGCACAACCATATCCTAATATTACCTTTAGATTTTTGCATACCCTTATGTCACACTTATGCAACAAGAGGTAGTCTCTTTGGGTTATATGCACCTATTTAGAAAAGTAATCAAATAAACATCCACTTTTTTAAAGAAGTAATTTCAAACCACTAGATTATGAACCATAGAAAACTAAAGAAGTGAATGTTCATCATCGTTCCTAGTACCAAAACATTGCCTACATGCATGCTTGAGGTTCATATTAATCTCTTTTCACATATGTATATTAAAGTCACATTAAAACCAAATATTGATCATCTAGTATCATTCTAAGCATATCATTCAACACATACCAAAACTCCTTTTCTTTTACTCGTCTAGCTGATATATGGACCGTAATCACACGGCATGTTCATGTCCTTACTACATTATTGTATTGATGAACAAGATCCTATCACAACTTCTTAAAACGTGTACTAAATTATCTTTGAGCTTTGCAGAAAACAAGACACATACACATTGGTATTCTTTAGTCACAAATACAACAAGTTGTACCGATTACAAACTCTAGCTTTCACCCTTTCACTTCATCTATTAGATACAATTTATGTCTTTTATCCATTTCCATAAACCCCCATCAATCCAAAAACTTTAAATTCAAAGAACCTATATTCATATACACATACTCAGCCTAGTAATCTCTACTCTACTATCCCTCTATACACCCTTGTTTCCATATTAAACATCCCCAACCTCAGGAACCTACATTTCCTTACAAAGTTTTATTTTTAAAGTGAGTAATTATAGATGACTATTAAAGGTATTATGGTCATCTCGAGATTTTCCTCATGAAAAAGGATTTAATTCCATCCTATTTTGGATGGAATGGACTTTCCCTCATTTGATCGAAAGTTCGCCACTTTTAGGAATCCAATTTTTTTTGAACGGCCATATATTATAAATTAAAAGCCAGCACGTAGCGGTTGAAAACAAAGTACAATAAACAAATAAAAAATTAGACAGTTACAAAAAAGATTGATAAAACGCCAAGACATATATATTGCATATGAGAACCGGTAGTTGAGGTAATTTATGAGATAATTTTGCGCTTAGATGTAGAGCAACCACCGAAACGTGTTTGGAAATCTTGGAGTTACCTATAGTCTTTGTAGAAACACTAAAACAATACCACTGGAACACAAATCATTCGCCTTGTTGATTTGTAGAGCACTTCACAACACACATATATGAACCGTTTGAAAGCCTTCTGAAATCCTTAAACCTTGTTGTTGTAACACCCCATATTTAGAAAAAAAAAATTAAAGCTATGTTTTAATCCAAACAAACAAGGTTTAATAAAACAAAACATCAGAGTTTAAACAAGCAGTTTCAAAAACAATCTCGTGGGTGTTACTAACATTGTATCAAATAAACCATAACAAGCAAACCAAGATTTACAAGATCAAGGCAATTATAACTTATGCTCCACTACTCTCCCATGGACTTCATTACTTCTAGAATACTTCACACCTTAGCTATCACCTGAGATACATGGCATTAGAAAGAAATACGTAAGAAAAAATGTCTCATGAGTTACGTGAGTTTTAGACCACAAAACATTTTCAATCATTTCATAAATAAAAACGAACATTTCACACATAACATACCATATATTATCATGAGTTTTATTTCTTATTTTCTCTTTTCATTAGATTTTTATCCATTTTCATTTTACAAGAGCAATGTGGAAAAAACAACATCAATCCACGAAGGCATCATTTCCAAGACCTAGGTGGAAAGAACAAATCAATCCACCAAGTTATCATTTCCAAGACCAAGGCGGAAGGAACATATCAATCCACCAATGCATCATTCATATAGGACATCTACTTCATGACGGGGATGCACCACCCTAGTAGATTCCTCTAGACCTCTTATGAGGCATCATGGTCTAGACGGGTTTCACATTACCTTTCTTTTACTTTCTTTCCTTTTTCTTTTAACATTATCATATAATCATTAAGCATTCTGAATAGACATACTTTACTTATCAAAACATTTTTCCATAAGATAGCTTAACATTTATCCATGTACCCCAAAGTGGGAAAAGTTCACATGTACACACCTAGTTCACTGATGTAGGTTGCTACCCTCTTTCAAGCTCCTTTCCATAAGTATTACTCCCCTTAAGTACTTCCTATACAATACAAGTAAAGGCCAATAAAATTGACCAAAATACCCTTCATAGTTTCTATTACTATATTTGATTGCTTTAACTCATTCCTTATGTAAAAATATGAAGGTAGGCTAAAACCATGCCTAAATCCGAGTCCGTATGAAAAAGTAATGAAGAAAATACTAAAATATAGATTTTTGGTCGAGCTGTTCACTTTGATGTCTATGCGCAGGCCGCATGCCTGGCTACGTGGGAAGCATTCCATAGCAGCCTAAACACCCCCAAAAACCCAGTTTTTGAGTCTTAAACTTGCTTAGATGGTTTTGGTCTTTTAGGTAAGCATTTGTAACACTTTTAAAGGTTTCCAAGCACTACTAGAGGGGTGTTTCATCATGTCAAAACATTCAACTTAATTCATTATGTCCTCAATCAAAATGCTAAGTACATAATGTTTTCAAACACTCAAATGAAAGGGTTAAGAGCTCAAGTTGATCAAGAACACCCTTTAACCAATATGACTTATTCCCAAATCATCTAATACATCATTAGGTCTTGTCAAGTGTTTAACATTACACAAATATCATGTTAATTCCTTAATGGAGTTATGGAATGCCCAATTCCATTCCAACTTTCCCATTTTGCCCTTAGGCCAATAACTCCATATTTTCAACTAGGAGTCATTCAAGTCTTCATGTTCTTGCATTCAAATCATATTATTAGTATCAAATCATGTTTATGAGTATCATATACTCATCAAATGCTCACAAACAAAAGATTCCATTGTTTCGACCACATTTCACTTAATTCCATTCCAGTTCTAACATATACATGATTCTACCATCATGGATGAATTTAAACATTCTAATTAGATTTTTTACTCTCAAATATCATCTAGGTCATAGAATCCAATCTCATTTCATCACCAAATGCAATATCCCCAATTTGGATTTTCTAGGGTTCATGGAGCTTTTTACCCAAATCATCAAAACCATCAATGGAATGATTGGTTTGAGATTGGAACCATCAAAACCACCCAAAGGGTGTTAGAAATCAAACCCGTAATCATCAAATCTTACTAAAATCAACATTGGTAGCCTTGATTCCTTTTCTCCTTTAATTGATTGCCCAATTCTCCTCTTGCATCAAGCCCTAAATGTCAAGAAATGAAGAATTCACCATTAGAGCTCTCTCTTCCTTGCAAAATACGTCTAGCAAGAATGGGGGAAGTATTCTTGCATCTTATTTCCTCAATTTTTACACTTACGGTCCCTCTAGTTTGAGCATTTGGCTAGTTCATACAATTACTTGCATTTTCCCAACTCAAACATGTAATTTGACATATTTTAACCTCTAACATCCTTATTTTTTATTTTAAATTAAATTTTAGGATGTTACAGTTGCAGAGTCCACACAAACGTATATGAATTGGTTGAATAACGTCTGAATCATTGAGGCACATACCATATATATCCTTCAGTTGTGAACAAGAACACTTAATAACATCGAACTTTGAGCTATCCATCAAATCATTTTGTTTTTTGAAGAATCGTTTCCATGTCCAATAATCTAATCGTCGTGCTTATGATTTCCATGTAGGAACCTTGCCTGATAACTATCGATGTACCATTAAGAAATTGCAACATACCTGCAGAAATTCGGTCATCTAATAACATGAATAAAATGGACGCCAAGACAAATGTTACCCTCCTCCTTTATTGTGTCTACCTAAGACCCCTCCCTTTATCCCACACATTTTCAGCATGAGGAAAGACAAAAAAACACACAAGAAGGAAAACCTAGTTTGCAGCAAACCTCCTATCATTTGTCTACCCTGTGAAAATACACACACCAAACTCACATCCAAGCCTAATACTCCAACCCCAACCCCAACCCCAACCCCAACCCCATGATCGAGTTACATGTTACCTTCAGTTATTGGTCGGAGCACCATTCCACCCATCTAAGTTTACTCGTTTTACTTTTAGAGTTTATCCATAAGTGGCTCAAGGTTTGGATTCCATTTGAAAGACCTCTATGTGATTTTACCATATTCAAATGAACTTTGGAATTCCTGACCATCCATATAACGACTTACATGACAACTTGTAATTGTGCAAGTTTCATGTTGGTTCTTAACAAATCTTGAACTAAACATGAGAATGTGATGGAGTTCTCTCTAATTCTCAAAGACTCCAACCAACCAAACCCCACCTTAAAAAGTTTTATATTCCCCACTTATAGACCTAGTAACCCCAATAAACCAAAAGTGATGAAACAAAACTTCGCACCACCATTATACACCTCGTAAACATAAATAAGATCTTATCTTTGAAAAACATATCATCATTTCGATCAAACAAGACTATCAATCCACTAAAACTAGGCTTCAAACTATATTAATTCTCATTTATTCCGGCTTACACACATTAAAATACAAATACTTGAATCAAATAATTTATAAGAAAAAACTAATCAATCATTTGTGGTAACTTTTACAAATTTATACACCATCCAATTTAACGACACTTATATTTAAAAGAAAAAATAAAATCCCAATTACAAAATATATGAATAAAACACACTATATCAAAGAATTGGCACTGCAAACACTCAAAAACGGGATCAGTGCTTCAAAAAACCTTCAACTGCCACCACAGCAACGACATCATTAGACCGATTTGATCATCCTCGTACTTTGAACCGACGAGTTGGAATCATCTGTCTTAACTCCATCCTGATAATATGGAATCCACCAAACTCTTATACTCTTGTCGAGACTACCACTATAGAGCAAAAACCCGCTACCAACACTGTTTGGTGAAGCTTGTAAACATTTAATTGGACCTCCATGCCCTTTGACCACACCAATCTTGGTCAACCCTTTGATTTCTCTTTTCCATATACATATACTTTTATCGGTTGAACCACTACACAATATCTCACCTTTTATGCACATACACAGAATGGCCATGTTATGTGCTTTCACCTCACATACGGACTTCCAAGTATTGAAATCTTTGCTCCCTAACCACCCCATTATATACCCATCTGACCCACCGCCGTAAACCACCGTGCCATCGTCGGAAACCACCACCGAGTTTATGGATATGTCCTTATGACCCTCCAAGATACCCTTTAATGAATGTGAACTCTTGGGTTCTGTTCTTCCCCATGCTTTGATCTTCCCATCGGCAGAAGCTGAGTACACAATCCCTTTGCTGGAGATTAAAGAATTTATAGCGTCATCATGCGCTTTTATCGATTCCAAACACTTTAAGTCGGAGATCCTCCACACCTTCAAAGTTTTATCCCAAGAACCCGAGTAAATCAACCCATCATGAACCGATAAACATGATATACTATCAGCATGTTCGATCCATAACCGCTTATGATGCCGTCTTGTTTGAACATAATTACTTTGTTTCATGAATTTTCCTAAGTAATCCTTCGTGGTTGGAAGAGTGTCAACAAGTCTGAATATGTTTTCAGAACTTCTTGAAACTTTCCATACTCTAATCCTTGAATCTTGATGGGCTGTGAAGACCTTGTTTCCGGCGGTTACCAACGCCTTGACGGAGCCATCGCCTTGTCCGAACTTGGTGAACTGGCGGAGGTCCGGCTGTTGCCATACAATAATGTCTTTTCCATGGGAGGCACTGAGGATGAATTCACCGCATATAGCTAGGGATGAAACTGATCCGTCATGGCCGGTTAGGATGGAGAGAGATCGGTATGAGGAGCAGGAGGAAGGTGTTTTGGGGAGGTTGTAGGGAATGAAGCGGTGGGATGTCGCCGGACTTTCGTCGGCGTCGCTGCTTGTATTGCTGCTGCTACTGGTGGTGGTTGTTGATAGGAGAGGAGTTGATAGAAAGTCCATTGAGATTGGAAGATTCATCGTGGGTTTCCACAGATGAGAAGGCTTTCCGTTGAGTTGAAGAATAGAAGTTGAAATGAAGAGTAGAGACAGGAAACAGACATATATAAAGCAAAATGTTTCAGAATTTTCTGTGGGTTACTAATTTTCTATTTACCCCCTCATGTTTTATGTCAGACACATCTAGTCCCATAAGTTTAGATTCTTAATAATAATAACCCTATTTGTACTAATAACTTAGCTCATTTCTTAATGATGAAAGAGGAAAAACAAAATTGAACAATAACCTTTTATTATAGAAAAACTTAGATCACTTCACAAAACCCATTTGGTGATTATCATCCTAATTCTCTTCTATTATTAAATCTATAATATAATATTCGTTAAACATTTAAAAGGGTAAACAAATGTCTATGATTATAAGAAAAATTATTTTAAAAACTAAACAAAACATCTTACTTTTGGTAATCAATTATACAACGTGGTGTATTGATTAATTATACGGGCATATGGGTGGTTTGAGTGTAAGCAAAATAAAGAATATCCTATAAATAAATAAATAATTAAACTTTTGTATGAGAAGTCCAATTTGCGGACTTGGAATATTAACTAATTTTAATAGGATCAATAAAGCAAAAGATGGGTTTCTTGGGGTAGAAAAGGGAAAACGTTAGCGTTTTTTAATGTTTTATTTGGGGCACAACGGCTACTTTTGACAACTGTGAAAGACTTGTTCAAACTGGTCCGTTGGACCGCAAGCGTGGGGCCCATTCGTTGGGTTTCTTTTTTCTCACATTTGGCCGTTAGAAAAACAATAAAGCCCGGGAGACGCTTGGCCTGGCGGTGCGCTCCTGCCTCCAAACGTGCAAGTGGTGTTTTCTCTATTAATATTTTATTAAAATAATTATTACAAATAAAATAATCTTATATATATAATTTAAATATCCAAAATAATTATATAAGATTTAGTTATTGATATCAAAACAGTAATATAATTTCTAATTGGTCTCATCTAAATTATTATGCTTTTGTTTGGGTGTATTATTATTATCCTTTCAAAACGTGAAAATGTTCCATTTGGTTTGTTTAATTAAAAATGATTTTACCTCTTTGTAGAACACAGCTATATTACACGGTAAAACCCAATAAAAAATGAAGAAAACAATGAGGAATATAAATTGAATCACAATAATGACAGTAAATTAGGTTGGAATTATTTCATTAGTCTCAATGATTTTTAGTAATATTCATTTTGGTTTAACGTGGCGGTAAGGTTAAACTTCAAACTTTTAAAAGTCATGGTGAGTCATATTGTTTTTCAAGTGGTAAGTGAAGTCGATAATTTTGTATATGTAAAGGATATAATCACATACTTATATATTTATATCAAGAGTTTAGAAGCATTATATCAAAACTTAATAACAAAAAGTTATCAAAATTTTGATGGTTCCATGCGCGATCATAAAAAGAAAAAAAATATCTTGGAAAAAACTCACAGTACGGAGCGATATGCGGCGCCTAGACAAGCCATGATGAACGTCATGCCTAACAATGATGTTAGGAGTGTTTTCTTGACGGTGGAGTCATGCCTCACTCTTTAGAACCTTGATTTTTAGAGACAAATTACAAGAATATGGGAAATCCAAAAGTTATGTACAACACGATTCTAACACATGTTTCTGGGAAAAATAATAATTTGTAAACACTAATACTATCATCGGGATATGATACATGTCTCCTGATTGTTTGTGATAGCATATTACTTTTGTACGACATAGCAAACTAGCGACAATACCTAATAAAGACGTCATATGTGTACATTAGGCCAGTTTAGGATGCGTTTTGTGGTGAAAGAAAATGAGGATATGTTTTGGTTTTAGTTCTCTACAAAAAAATATAATATTTGTATAAAAAGGTTAAAAAGGTGAAGTAAAGTGAAAGGTAATCATTTTGTGGGTTTTAAATAGTGAAATGACATGGTACTCGTGACACATAAAAACGAAAGGTGAAAATGAGTACTCCATCGAGCCTTACAACCTTAATCATAACGATTGTTAATGTGATTAGAAGGAACCATACCAAAAGAAGTTAATCCATATGATGCATAGTTATTTAGATGATGAATGATGATGATCATTCTGCTCAAGTCAAAGCCAAAATCATTTATGTTGAGTCTTATTATGTTGTGATCACTTTTTTTTTGTATATTTTTTATCCTTGCTTTGTTTGTACTATATCCGGACTATGTGTTGTTGGGTTTTATTCACAAATTGTTTTCTAAAAAAATGCTAAATACTATAATGAAATCTTTATAATTCGAATAAACCTAAAATCATTTTAACCTATCGATAATCATTTTGCATTGATAGAAAGATTAAACCATGTTTAGATGAACCATGGATACAAGCCTTCGTCTCTTTATATAGTTGCATGCGTGAACCATGTATACCCTCATTAAGTACACATGTAAGGCATGTAAGGATGTATGGGAGTCTAAGAGAATGAAAGATAAGCAACCTTCCACTCCCTCTTGGAGTCCATGGATTTTAGCTAGAGGATGGGATGGTTGTGTAACTTTTACTTCATCTCACTAACTATCATGTGCATATGTTATGTTACATTATATAAATGAACTCTAACTAGTCCAAAATAATATACACAACATATAAATCGGACCTTATGAGTTATTAGTTTTCTCTCTTGGAAAATATTATTTTTATAAAATTATAATTTTCCAATTAAATACAAGAGTTGATAATATTTATTAGTAATCAAATTCTAGTAAATAGTAAATAAGAGTCTACTTGCAATAAAGTGTGACCCTATAGAGTCATGTGTTATTACAAAATATCATTTTGTAATGATTCTTAAGCATATAGATATTTCATGTATATCCATATTACACCTGTAATTTATTTGTTATACTACACACTATGACATCCCCAATTTCACGGCTAGAATAGACCGATTTGTTTATGCTTTATTTGAAATTGAGAGTATACTTTTGAAGAAATATTTGCGGAATTTGTTCCCAAAAATATGATAAAGAATTTATTAAAGCATTTCCGAAGAAATGTATTTTTAATATATTAAAAACATCGGGATGTCTTTGTCAATACAGATCAAAAGCATAAACAGAAACAACATAAGACTTACAACATTCTATTTATTTCTACTGGCCTATAATCCAGAATCTCTCATCAGATCATCGCATCTATGCTCTTGTGCCACTACCAAGAAACTGAGCGGGTCAGACTTGGGAGTCTGGTGAGCACATAGGGTTTTCAACCTATAATAATTAAGTTTATTAATTTCATCAATCAATCAACCCAGTTACCTGTTCCTGTTATCCTCACTTTCTGTCCCTAAAGCATCTAATTTAAGGGACCTAGCCTAAGGATTTTTTTTTCACCGGGGTGACAAAACTGCGTAGAGGATTCCTCATCAATATATGTCAAAAAAGCAGCCATGAGGGGGGTGGAGTACACCTGGTGAACACTTAGTTCAAAAACACTTATAGGTTGCGAGCCTGCCAGCGTTCCACTAGACGGTCTAAAATAGTCTGTGGTCGTCATCTATACTTCGTTTGATGACTGGATCATCTTAAAAGTCGAGGCCTCTCATAATTTTTATTTCCTCTTTCAACATATATTTCATTTACCCATCTTTACCCATCATAATAATAGGTATAAAATACACATACAACTTAAATCAAGTAAAACATGTATATTTTGTTCATCTAGCATAAATATCAAGTACACATATAATATGCACACATATCATGTAATTTATATTAAATACTTCATATCTATGTGTACGATTAAAGTAACTATGCACTCACTTGTTAAATTGATGACTTCAAACTCGGGCAGCGCTTCGCTTTTAAAAAATTTATTTTCCTTCAACGAAACCTAGTATCATTATTACTAAATTTTAGTCTAACGTTTATTGTGACTAATTATTAACTCAATGTCTACGAGCTATATTGTTTTATAAGTGTTAAACAATACTTTTCATCTACTATGTACAGACAGAGGCCAAACATGAAACACCGGAGGGCATGACCATTTTGGCATTAAAGTTGTTCTGAAATCCAACAACCCTATGCGGTCCTTCAAACCAGATTCCCTGTACCGCGAGTAGTTAAAAGATATTATAATAACACTTTTATATTTTATAATACATATATTTTTATAGGTTCATAATAACGATATTCAACTTAAACATTAGCTATACTTAAAGTAGGGTAAGCATATCTCACTTGCAAGGGGGTTTAGCTAGGAGTCAGGCTCTGCGGGGGCATAACTTATGAGCCGAAAGCTCTTCTTCTCGGAGCCTTCTGGGGCTCCATGACTCACCTCTAGCACTTGGGAAGTACTAGGGAAGTGGAGGGAGAGTTTGGGAGTATTGATAGAGAAAGACGGGGAATGGTGTAAAGAAATGGGGTGCTTCTCGCACCTATTTATAGGCTGAGATATTCGGTTACGCTGGGCGTAACTTCGGAGTACGCTGCGCGTCCGAAGCACCACGCTGCACGTACGAGGGCCAAGTGTCGCAATCTGAAGCGAAGCCGTGGAGAGCAAGCGATTATCCAGCCATGTGTCACTCCTCGCATGAGCCCATACACAACTTCTAAATTCTGTAAATTTCGTATACGAGCTCCGTTTTTTATATTATTTATATCCACACGTAGGTGGTGATATACTCTACAACTTTCATTTAGACTCCGTCGGCTAATTTTGAATTTATTTTTAAAGTTATATTTTAACAGGCTTAGACAGATAAAGTCCGTTAAAAATCCATAACTTTGTCATCCGACGTCCGTTTTCATCTGCCTTTTTATCATTGAGTTCTTAATAACAAGATCTTCAATTCTCGTTTAGATTGTGTCGGCTAAAAATCGATTAATCTAAAATTCGATTTTCGGGTTGCATACTGCTATGCCAAATCTTAGAAAAAACATAACTTCCTCATACAAAGTTAGATTTCGACGTTCTTTTTATGCACGCTGTCGGTTTAAC